CGCCTTCATTGCAATTCAGCACTCCCACCATAGTAACCAATCTCCACGTGATTAGGGCTGATCCATCCATCCAAGCAGAATGCCCACCTCGACCGTCTAAAAGTTCCCAAAAACTGAGACCACAAGATTAAGATATCTTCGAGTTCACCCTCAGCAGCTGCCGCGTAACTGGTATACAAGTGGACGGCTTCCATTCTCGCCGTAGCGGGGCTTAGGTTTTTTTTTTTTTGGAAACGCTGGGACGGTACGGCCCCTCTCCTCATTTTCTCCGAGCCCTAAACCGACGTGCTGAATTTCGAGCACTGTGGAACTTGGAAAATCCCGCCTCATCCCATTTGGACATATTTACAGCGGATGGAGATAGTGTCACAGTCGAGGCCACCCTCATGGACGTGGGTTGCAACTGGAACGTTTCTAGGAACCGTTTGGAAGCGGTCATCAATTCCCTTTCGAGCCTCGTATGGAAGGGCATCTATGGTCGGCATGGTTGGAGAGAAGAGAGGATGAGATGCTCGTTAGATGGGAGAAGCGGCAAGCTGGGGACGCGGGAGGGGCGGCCCGCGGAGGGCCCACAGCTCAACGTTTGATACCATATCTCCATACCATACCCTATTTTCCAAAAGCCGAACCACCCACCAAGCCCTACAACCTCACCCGGGCTCCTTCCGCCAACCCTATTCCCACTCAGCAAAACCTCGAACGATACAACTGCTCCTCCCTCCACGCCCCATAGGTATGCCTCAGTCTCTGCACGCGGTCCCAATCCTGGTGAGTCCGCACCGGGTGGAAAACCTCATACACGTCCACAAGGGCCATCGTCCCCCGGCGGTCCAGCCGCGTACGCACCGCGTGCACCTCGTTCGCCCGGGTCTCCGCGTACCGGACCAGCCTCTCATACCGGTCCAACAAGCCTGTGGGAAAAGGGCCTTGCAGATCCCACTGCGCGACTTCGTCCCCGAATTTCGTGACATCGATCCACAGCTCCCGCTGGAAGGGGCTGAGCTGATCGGCCCACGCCATGCTTTCGCAGTGGCAGTGAACCTCCACCAGTCGCTGGTCCGTGGAGATGACCACGAAGAGGTCTGCGCGGAAGGGGTTGGGGTCATCTTGGTCGGTGATGCCGGGGCGGATGACGCTGGTGCATTTTCCCGGTTAGTCTTGTGTTGTGGTAGGGCAATATAATTTGAGGTAGTGATATGTTGTGGTTTCTCCGGGAAGGAAAGCTATTAGGCCCCTTGTGGGAAGTTTGACACTTCGGAGAATAAGGAAATTTCTCCTACCTGGGGAGGGTAGATACCGCAGCGAGCAACTCGCCCCGACTACACTCCATCCAGAGCCAGACGGCTCGCGACCATTTGCCGTTAACCTCGAACCGATACGGAATCCCACGGGAGGCTAGGGCAGCGATGATGTATTTCCGCGCCCTGGCGATCTCCTGCTTGTTGTATGGCTGCGCCATTCCGCGCAGGTGGGGCAGGTCCACGGGCCAGTATAGCTCGGGATGCGCATATCTAAAATTGGGCGAGCCTTCACTCATAGTGTGATTGCTGACTGTTTCTGGGATGGGGTAACAATGTTGGCATTGACTGGCACGCTGTAGCTTGATTTGCAGAGGTCATACGGCTCTGCTGCTAGATGTATCATGTACAGCCTGCTAGGTGTATCTGGCCGTTTTCTCCCGCCATGTGCAAACGAACAGCCCGTTTTTTAGTAGGCCCGTTGCTCCCCTATCAAACGCCACCAGCGTTTGCACATCGAGAGTCAGGAGGACGTTGAGCCAAGTATTCATTGGCCTGAAGATGCCACGTCATCGGTCTACGATTCTGTGAGCACATACCATGGGAGGAAGAAACTACCAGTAAAGTCCAGAAGATCCTGATGTTTCTTGCCATAAGGCCTGATTCAGAAAGTAATCCCCATAGTTCTCTTCCTAGTCTATTGCGCCAAAAATGCAACGCTCTTTGTAGGGTGCGAATTAAGATTGATTGCCTATGTGCTTTATGAGGAACCGACTAAGGATCCTCGTCGACGGTCTTCTTGCCCTGGAACATGTTCAAGACGGCTTCACTAGATTGGACCGATTTACGCTTGTGTGGCGGAGCCAAGGGGGTTTTCAGGGTCTCGTGTACCAATCGGTGGTGTAGGTTCGCTGGTAGGCTCAGACTCTGGACGTTCTGGAGCTCTGTGTACTTTCTCACGTATGTTCTCCGAGTCTGACGGTGGTGGCGCCAGACGCGCTCTCGTCTTCTGGGTACGGGCTGTCGAAGTGGTTGGAATGGTGGGGTCAGAAAGATCAAAGATTCGCGCAACGCGACGAAGAACATTATCAAGCTGAGTAATTGGCTCTCGTTGAGATCAAATGGTTCGCAACAAGTTCTCTTCATTAGCATAGTGGCGCGACCTCTCCCGAGCAAGCTTCCACTCCGCAACCTCCAAGGGGGTCGCAGCAGGCGGTAGAGGGGCATCGGAGGCTTCCGCGACAGCACTGGACGCTCTTTTCTATTCCAGGAATGAAGGTAGTTTGTGCTTGATGTCTCCCCTCGACGTGAGGGGTAATGGATTAAGAAATCCCGTGTAGCGGTCGCGGTATTCACCCCCGACATTGGAAACAAGGTCGCGTTCTGAGTGACCAAACGTTCCATCCGGTTGAGAAGCTCCCTCTGTTGCGGCAATTGCCTACGGATATGGCATCTCAAGGGATGGAGCAGAAGTGTCTGCAACATGGGAAGCACCTCGCTGCTCCTTCGCCTGACCCTCCTCAATAAGGTCCAACAGTTCAGCTGAAACAAATGGTCTCATCTGTCTGCAACATTCTCGCTGGAGCTACTGTGACTAGCACTTCCTGCATCCACGGGCAGAGATACTCGCGTGACCATGATACGGAGCTGCACGGTCTTTAGGGTGCCGGGATTATGATTGCAACCATTTTCAACCAAGCCATGATGCTGTCTTCCGTTCTTCAATCACAGCAAGATGCTTCCATACGTAGTCGTGAGCCCGTAGCATAGTGACCAATCGACATTGCCCCGGGGTTCCAATCTTCTTCGCTGAATCTTGCTTCCACGTGCGTGCGACCTGTACCGAGTGCCAGCCAGTTGCTAGATGGCTCAGGGAACAGGAAGCGAGGGGTTCTTATCTACATTGTCCGCATGATCCAGTCGCATAATGTACGTGCGACCACCATTGACTATGAAATCACAGAACGTTGGCCATTCGAAGCAGGCTACGGCCTTGATTCACGTATGGTCCCTCAGCTGCGCGCCAAGCATACCTCAGCCACTTTATTGAAACCACTCATCTCGAGGGAGCTGACCGAGAACAGTCACTGACCAAAGAGCTAGTAAGCAGACTGAGTGTACGCACTAAAGGAGGCTTGATTATCGAGCATCCTTTCCACAGCTCACCGAACACGGAGCATTGGCTCGCTTTCCAAGTGCTTCCGGATTGTGCACCATTATGGGCTAAGGAATAGGACCCAGCATGTTGTGTAGAAGCCAATTTCAATGTCTAGCCGCCTGGTGGTTTCATTTCACGTCGCTGACCTCAACACGGATCCACAGATAGCGGATTGCAAATGTTCGGCTCCCAGGCGAAGTGTCTCCTTCTCATAAGGTCTTCGTCAAGCCGTTGACACGATCACCCTAAGTCACATCACCACTTCCTGCTCGCAGGTGGGAGATCAATGACTCTCTCCACGGTGTTGCAGCAGTCTGCCTTCGCAATGACAGGGTTGTCCTCAATAATAACTTCTGCAGCTCCAAGGCCGCGGCACCGTGGGCATGATGGACGGCCGTGGACGCTACAGGCATTTTAGACCGCCATATGAGGCCGTCCACGTCAAAATCTGCCGGATAGCGGATGGATCTCTCAGTCTTTCGAGCAGGCCAATAGCCCAATAAACTCACTGATCGTCCAATCTGACCCCCTTCGGGAGTCCAGTCATTCGGACCTTCAATAGGCCAGTGCTCTCCGTGACCCGTGGCGGATTTCTCCATATTTTTAGTGTCTCCCTCCTTCTGGTTTAATCTTGAAAGATCGACTTTGGATGGTATAGGATCGCCTTTTTGCTATTCTCTGTTGTGGTGATGGGCCTCCATGCTTGTAGTCCTGATTAAGCGATAGTTCAAGTCGGGAGCAGACTTCCAAAGCGCTGGACAGTTGCCAGCAAGTTCTGCGCCATGCTGAGCGCAGGTTCTCACCCGCCGGTGTGGTTGTTCCATGTACTTGGACTAGTGTAGCATTGCATCTGAGATCGGAGTGGAGTCCCTCTGAGACCTCTTTGGGGGTTTTTCCCAAAGGTATGCATAATAGCAACCACGGAAGCCTTGCGATGCAATCGCTGGGGTAATGTGCTGCTCTCTACCCGGTGACGCTCGTTGGATGGTAGGCATGACGGTATGATGTAAACCCCTTTCGAAGCATGGTGCATATTGCAATGGACACCGATATCATTCAAGAGTAGGAGAAAACGTACCGAGCAATTAGTTGACTTAGCATCGATAGCAGTGGAAGTACTCCGGTTCATGATATCAAACCTCCGCTACACTTAGATTGGGCGTCGCATTATCTGTGACAAGGTACGAGTGTGAAAAGTTTATGCCCGTTCGGCCGGGGACAGCATTGGCATTGAGCGGGTGATTTGATTGTCCAGGATTGTGCTTGCGATCATCTGCTTGGACTTTTCCACTTACCATCGGCTTGGCTGGTTTTGACATCCTGTCATCCTCTCTCCGCTGCGCAGGATATTGATAAAATAGTATCTAGGTTACTCAAATGATTCTGACAAAGAGAACCGACCCTAGGGCTTTTTTCGGACCTTGATGTCCCAGGGACTCGGATGATCGACTTTTAGGGATTCACACAAGACCCGGCTTAAAAAGGACGTGCTTGAGCCTTATGTTTCCAGGGAACAAGCCCTTGTTTAGATTGCAGAGTCATTGCTTTGTTTGACTCTAAATTGAGAAGAGGAAAGAGGTAGACGGTAAAGTCCTTTTTGACTCTCAGGAAGCTTGATCGAACAACAAATGCCATATGCGAATGACATAACATGTTGTTCGTGTCTGGTTTCCCTGCTTGTAATCGATCCAGAGGAGGCGGCCATGTTGGATGTATTGCGTAGAGATGAAAGACAAGGTTGTGAGCTGCCAAACAGCGGCCGATCCATGCTTGAAAAACTCATCTATCACTGCAGAGGAATTTTTGATGGCCTCAAAAAATTCGAAAACGAAATCACAAATCCCCGAAAGAGTGGCCAGGTCTGACAAATATGGGGATGAAACATTCGAAGAAAAGAAACCACACCCTGTTTCCGTGAACCTCCCCCCCTGCTCTCCTTGTTGGCAACACGTGGAGCGTTCGGCATTTCCGGTTGCCTCGCGACGGCCAGTATCGGCGTTAACACGACGACCAACAAGAGCAGCAGTGCGAAGAGCAGGAGCTCGAGCAGGATTGCCGCCATTCAAGTTGCCATTGGCACCTCCGGTTGCACTGGCTTGGGCAAGCTGCACCATCAAACTGTCCCTCTCAGACAGGCTGTATCGGCCTGGTGAAGGATATCCTCTCGCAGCGCTCTGGCTCCAGCACAGCAGATCTTGATGCTTTTCCCACCTCATCGATATCCTCACCGCGTCTGGACTGCGCAAACTTACCACTCCCCACTGGCAGCTGCGAGGAGGCCTAGTGGCTACCCGATAGGCACAATCCCATTCATCTTCAGTTCCTTCGTCGAATGCTCGTCTTGTGTATCGATATCCCCTAGGTAGTTGTCGTACGCTGTTTGGCGGGTGTGTACGATAAGCAATCAAAATATTCACCGTGCAAAAACGCGCGCGCATGTGAGGATGACAGGAAACTCTCAGCACGGATTGTCTGAATCTCGACGTGGATCAGGGGGGCTTAAAGAGACCATGTATCGTCAGAAATCCTACGGCGTGATGATGCCTAGATATATCAGTGTATATCAGGGAGAATACGATCGGAAAAAGGCGATATTCGGTTCGGTGGATTGTGAGTCAGCCTGATTTTTGTAGGTCCATGTCTTTAAGAACAAACGTGGACAAGCTTGTAGATAGATAGAAGCCATTGAGAAGTGAAGTATGACCACATGGATTGAGAATAGAGGAACGCAGTCTGCGAGATGGAAGGATTCTTGTGAAGCAGTGGAGGTCAAAGGTCATGACAATCGATGAGGATCCAGGGAAGATGTTGATAAAGCGATACATTTGGAGGATAGTGGAAGAGAAAGAGAGATGGTGGGTGAGATGGTGGGTGAGATGGTGGGTGGATGAGAAGGTTCATGAGAGGAGAAGAGAAGACGGAGGATAAGGAAGATCCTCATAAGCTGAAGATGGGCAAGCTTAAATGATGTTGAATTAGCAGGAGCCATTCACCTGTCAGAGTTATCAAATAGCTCCAATTGTTCGCAAAAGAAAGATTAGAGTAAGATGGACTGCAGTTAATCGTGCCTCCCTCAAAGTGAATCAGTCGGATACGGCAAATCGTGATTTGCCAAAAACAGAGAGTGAATGACATAGCCGTCCCAAGTATATATGTGACCATATAGGTATCGAAATCTTCATCGACCTATATAGATCGTGTTGTGTTCCTCAGTAGTACTAGCCAGTAAACTTGACATTCGCATGACCCACGATTCAACCAGAATACCACTTATGTACAGCAGCGCAAGTCAGTCACCGGGAGCCTTTCGCCACAGAAACATTACAGCCATATCCACCTGCAAACCTCACATGTACCCACCCCCTTTCCTACCTTAAGGCCAAATCAATAAGTAGCCTTTGCCAGATTCTCATCAAACGTCGCATCCTTGAACGGCACGATCGCGCTCCCGAAGTCCGTATCCGACAGCGCCGTGCTAGCAGCCGAGGGCAGACTCTCCCAGGCGACCAGCGGCTGGGTGCCGCCGACGGTGGTCGTGAGCCCGCACGAGTGGTCGATGGGCCAGATGCTCTCGTACTTGATCAGCGGCTTGACGCCGTCGAGCGTGTACCCGTCGGTGGAGCAGTCCCAGCCGCCATGGGCAGAAGGGCACACGGCCAGGATGTTGTCGGCGGTGTAGACGGTGGGGTCAGAGATCCAGACGATCACCCCCTCCCAGTCGTGGCGGTGGCCGATGCCGGTGGAGGGCTCGTCCTTGGGCATGTACCAGCTGTACAGCAGGGCGGTCGGGTAGGTGTAGTCGCCCGTGGAGGAGACGTTGCTGCGCACGTAGATCTGGCCCGTCGAGGAGCTGCAGTCGCCGTCGGAGGCGCCGGTGGGGGCGAGTCCTGCACTTTTGGGGAGTTGGAAAGGGTTTTTGATAATGAGTGAGGAAGGAGGGCATGGAGTGCGGGGAAGGGACAGGTTGAGGGGAAGGTGTATGCGGGGTTATAATGTACTGTACTGTACTCACTTGGTATCCCCCTCCGCATCAACGGCAGGGAACGGTACACATCCGTTGACCACGTAAAGGTATGGCTGGTAGTTCAGGTACAATGTGCCCGTGGCATCGTCAGGGACCGTCTGATCAAATCCCACGATCTCGTCGCTGGCGATGGTGCCGCGTGCACTGAGCTTGGAGATGGCCGGCCGGGCCTGGACCATGGACAGGCCCGTGGCGAGAAGTAGGGCAGATCGGAGAGACATGATTAACTGAAGTGAGGAATTAGAAGATTGACCTTGGCCACTTGAAACTCTGAACAATGTTCCTGGCAGCTTGGAGCAAAGTCTGGCAGACGGATGGAGCGCTGCCTTTATGCTGGTCGCAAGGGGTAGGAATCGGCAGGATCGGCACTTCTCCCCTGAAGAACCAGTTATCACGGTGGGGAAGAACGGTCGGTCGGCCGCACAACTCCACCATTGGAGTTCGCGAGCAAAAGCCCATTGTAACCATGTGAGAGAGAACGTGATGGATGATCGGAGGGGAAGTGGTTGAAGACAATGGATTGCTGGACGGGATCGATATTAATCCCGTCGGCCATCTTCCTCCAATCAAAGGGGGCGAGAGCTTCACGCGTCGGTTGAGGATCAGTGCGTTGCCGCCACGGTGGGATTTGTCTGGTTGACAGACATTCTTCAATGAACAAGCTAGCTGGAGGTAGATAGCTTAGTCTATTGCTTGATGGTTTAAGATGATGACTTCTTCAGGTTGTTGGCACTCTGCAGCTTAGGGCTGGGCCGAGGTTGACCCGGTGCGGGTTCGCAGGGCGCCAAAGTGAGCATCCCTTGGAATCAATTAAATGTATGTACTGTAAGTAGATTGTGATAAGAAAAGTCCCCTAGACACCGCCAGGGCGAGAATAAAATCACCGCACGGGCAAGTCTCCTGGTCAGACCATAGCAACCTGCTGCTGCAGTCCCGCCTGCCCATCAACCAGGCCCATTATCATCTCGCTTCCTCTTGCCACGGGCTCAGGAGCAACTTCTTTCCTAGCCTTAGCCCTTCGGATCACCGTCCCTTCTCCATGGCCTTCGCCCGCAAAGACCTCCTTCAACAGCCCTCGAGGATGTACTACTGACACCCTTACCTCTTCCCCATCCTTTCCCTCCAACAAATCGTGCACGGCCGTCATCCTCACTCTCCACCGCATCCCTAAACGCGTCCACTCCTGCTTCCGCAACCACTCCAGGCTGATCACGTCCATTTTCCTTCCGGTTCTTCCGTTCACCAAACCGCCCGTCTCGGAAAGATACACGACCTTCTCCGGGCGCAGCACCCGTGCCAGCGCAGATGCGGCCAGATCCGCATGAACATTGAGAACCTGGCCATCGGAAGTCTCTCCCATGCAGGTCAGCACCGGCACGCACGATGCGCGCAAAGCCGCCCGGATAGACGAGTCTTCAACCTTGTTGACTCGGCCCACGTGACCGTACTTGCTTGCGTCAACGTACTCAGCTTGAAAAACACCCGAGGTTAACGGCCGGGCAGAGACACCGATACTCTCAAGCTCCTGAACAAGCTTAAAGTTCTCCTCGAGTAGAGCTGTACGAGCCAGTGCCAGGGTACGTCCATCGGTGACGCGGATGCCATCATGGAACTCTGACTCGATCCCCGTGGCAGAGAGCAGCGTGTTAAGCTGGGGCCCCGCGCCATGAACGAGAATCGGGTAGAGGCCAATTTGGCTTAGGAAGGCGATCGCAGATGCAAGAGATGGGAGGTGGTCAGCTAGGACAGCACCGCCGACTTTGATGACGGCGAACGGGCGGGACGAGAAGGTGGGTGTGCTGAAGTAAGAGAGGTACTGTTGGGCGGTGTGTTTGGAGTCTATTTGGCGCAGGAGTTGTGCTATCGTGGAACGAGTCGCGGCCACTTGGTCGCTCTGAGTCTGCGAGTACAGTCGGATACTATGAGCAGGATATACTGCGGGCAGAGTTGAGCTGCCTCGTATAGAGTGCATAAGTCCCAGTGGGACCGGTATGCTGGGAGCGAAGCGACCCATGTCGTAGACAAGGCAACTGGTATATGTTATCGTTCGTTGGGGGGCGAACAAAGTCCAGGTTGAACCAGCGCGGGGCAAAAGGGTTTATATCCCTCACTGATAAAGAGCGCATAGGCAGCCTAGTTCGTGGCTGGATTTCAGGATCCGGTTGGGTTGTGTTATATCCCTCATCGCGGCCCGCGGTCGGAATCGAACCGACGATACATCACAGCAGTGACTGGTGGTGGGGTTTGACTGGAGCCATGGTTCCAGGCTTTATTCCTAATTTCAAGTGGCAGGCAGCCACGAATATCGCTCAAATACAAAGTCGGCCATGAGAGCGGTTCTGTATAGTTTTGGTGGTGTTGCAACACTGAGTCGCTCGCGCCAACAACGACTAGGTAGTTCGTGGTGGCGCCCAAAGTCAGCCACCCCTCCCCCAGCCATGCAACTCGGGCAGGCACACCGACAAGATGACAGCAGCCGGGTTCTCTGGCATATCTCCTGCAGATCCACGTAGTTATCGCGTACTGATAACAAAGCATGGATAATTCCCATTTTCCTTCAGGGTAACATCGCGTAGCGCGCTCACCGCCACACTTCAAGGTTTCATCTCCCATCCCGCTTGGTGCGTCATTTTCTCGCCTGTCGGCTATTGGTTGGTCAAATCACGCTGCAAGAGAACTGGGAAGACACGCATCGGGCACGCACGAGAAGTTCGACGGAATGTCATGTCAGACACTCAGAAAATAAGTTAACATGATCAGGCGAGAATCTGCCAAGCGCTCGGAAGGTCTGGAACTGATCAACGATTTTCGTCCATTCCGCACAAATCAAATCCAGCCCTCTACCGACTAACACAGCGCTGATAGGTCTGGGCCTGGGCATTCAACACAACTCTTTGATCGCACTAAGCAGATCCAAGTTAGTGCAAGGAATCACTCCGAGGCATTGAAAAGCATGCGGTGGTTGTGCAGATGTGGGAGTAGCGCCAGAAGCACCCGGCGCCACGCGATGGCCATCCGTCAAATGCACTTATTGTCGCGACGTGCTGGATCTCTGGGCTTCTCAATGACGATATTCCATTTTTAAGCGCACGCATCGATTGTAGGTCGTTGTTGGGCAAGTTGGGAAAGAATATGGTGCCTCCAGTATTCGAATCAAGAAGTCATGTGTACGCAGCTGCCTGGATCAAACACTTTAATTTACCACAGCATTTCACTGAAGGTCGCAAAAAAAGCAGGCAACAGTCTCATCCTAGCAAAGTAGAGAAGAAAGCGTCTGACAGAGGTTCTGTGATGCCGGAATGACCAGTATAGCCCCCTGAAAGAAGCAAGGGCGCATTCATGAAGGCTATGTTCGCCGCAAATGTGGGTTTTGTCTTGTCACACAGCATCATCCGCCGTATGCCTCGTGTAGATGGGCACTGATTAATGATCAATTGGGACCCTGCTATTCAGCGGAGAGGAAGAGTTCTGTAAAAAGCGACCGTGGCAAAGGAGCATTGAAATATGCCTTCACTCGGAAAAAGCTGGATCTGATTTGACGACCGATCAGTCGCGCTGAGGCTGGCTTCTCCATCGACTAATCAACAGACGAGATGAGCTCAGATTAGCCACGTTGGACCAGGGTCCGGAGCCTCAAGCACTGACTGACATCGTAAGTTGTCAGTTGGTGACTTGTGGCCTGGATGTTCTTGAGTATTGTAAGAGTCGCGTTCAAAATGTGCGGGCCGACCCACGTTCTCTCTCCAGTTACACGGATCGCGAATGGCCATTTCCAAGGACAGCCATCGCCACGCATCAAATAACAAACTTCCAAATTCCAACTACTACACCATGGTACGTAGCAGGCAAATTTGTCCGGTCGGAAACCAAATCCTCTCGTTGGTACAAGTGAAGAATGAAGTATAAGAGCGGGGCGACTTCGCTAAAGGCTTGCAGACGCATCCATGATGGATCCAACGCCTCCCATGCTTGCCCGCGCGGGCGGGGGCGGGGAGACTAAAATTAAATTAGTCTCAGTCAATCAGTCAGTCTCGATTGCAGATTACGATGACCGATGACTCAACCCCTCATTTAAACCAGTCACTTATCTATCTGCTCACCCTCCAGCCAGCTGTTCTGTTTCCTCCACTTTTCTTCACAGTTCTTCAACCACCATGACAGCAGCTGGAACCATTCGTGTCCCCCAGAAGGATGGCTCGCCTCTGCGACTCGAGTTCGCCACAATCGACGATCTGAATGAGATCACCGATCTGTGGTACAATGCCTTCTCACCCGGCATGTTATTCCTCTGGCCGGACACCCCCGGGGTGCGCCAGTGGTGGAACGAAGCCAACCGCCATGACATGCTCCACAAACCCAACGCGAAGTATCTCAAGGTCGTGGACACAGCGCAGAATGGCCGCATCGTCGCGTACGCCAAGTGGTCGCTGGAGACCGCCGAAGAGCGCGGACCACGGTGGCCCGCGTGGCATTCCGAGATGGACCCGGCCTTGATGGATAAATTTCTGGGCCACTTGGAGACCAACCGGGCGACGGCTGTCGCAGGTGCTCCCAAGAACTTCTGTACGTTTGACCCCGGGAGAATTTGGAGTATCTCGTTGAGGATTATTGAGCGGAGGGGACTGACGGTGCTCACGCGACCACCAGATCTTGATATGCTAGCGACGCATAGCGACTACCGGAAACGGGGCGCGGCACGCTTGTTGCTGGAATGGGGGTGCGAGGTGGGCGACGAGGAGAATGCGCACATTTATATCGACGCGAGCACCGACGGTCAGCCGGTCTATCAGAAGTTCGGCTTTGTGAGCAAGAATGATCCTTTGGTCGATCCGTTCGAGGTGGCGGCCATGGTGAGACATCCTGGGTGGAAATCGGTTTGACGTCAACGTGTCCAGGTGTTTTGGAACTGCAGATCATGAGATGGTACAACGGCACATTCTAGCAGTGAGATGATTGACAGACATAGATAATTTGGTTAACATTGAGAAAGCGTGGTGCCTTCCTTACCCACGGCAGTGCATCTCAGATCCTGTTTTTTGGCTAGATTAATATAAGGCGTTGGCAGATGGATGCACCCGGTTAGTTGACGTAAACTCAAGTGATCTCGCGGGGTGTATGCAATCATCGACTTTTTATACTCTGCTTTCGAGGACAAATCGTCCTGACAGCTTTTCAAGATCGCAATCGGACGGTGTTGTCGGCCCGTTGATGCTTGGTAGTGAGACCCTCGATTTTATTTAAACACTCATCGCGGAACACCGGATGGAAAGAGCTGTCCGACAATCCTGCTTTCGTCGTACTTGCGACACAAGCTAGTGACTTATAAACTCTTCTTTGTCAAAACAAGTCTCATCCCTGCTAGACTAAAGCCAATAGGACAATGATAGTACAGTACTATAGTAGGTTACTATACCCAATCGGAGTCATGTTATTCGGGTCTACCCGACCCTCAACCAAATGACCCTGCCGGATCGCAGGCTTCTTGAACAAATTGGGACCCATAGGCAGCTGCAGTGACCTGACCTACAACCATACTAAGCAGGCATCTCTGCTTTTACCATTCCCGTCTTAGGTTTGACATGGGCCTTACAACTAGCGTGGCTTTGTGCACTGTAAAGAACACCTTCTTCCCTCCTGGGAGAAACACATCAGCTGTATACATTCTCACTGTTCTGCGCACAAATAAAGGGTAGGAATTGCCTCATCTTTTGACCCAGACAGAAAGACATTTTTTATCCCATGCTCCGATGTCCGTTACAATCCATCAACAAAAACCCCGGTAAACTCCCAATGCAAGAACCACGCGGAGAAGCAGCCAAGGACATGGTATGCACACTCTCAATCCTTATCTCAACAACACTGATACTTCTAAAACCCACAGCCCGAAATACAGCCAAACACCGCCGAAGCACCCGCCTGCGCCAATAACTCCGTCTTATTGACCACCCTGCGCGCCTTACCAAAAGATCCGCTGGGATTCTCTCATCTGGGTATGGACGGAGTGTGGCGGAACTTCGGTCACGATCGCAACGTGATCAGCTATCGTGCTCTCAGCCCCGAGGAGATTTTTGAGGTGCCGGGGATTTTCCCTGGCTGGGTGCGGGAAAGGATTGAGAAGGGGTTGGAGGGGGTTGATGGCAGGGATGTAACGGATATCGAGCAGCTGTTGCATCCTAGGGAGGAGCTCTTGCCGAAATTCGAAGATGATGGGGGGTTGTAGTCACGATACGGCATTTCTGTTTGTATTCGATGGGAGAATCATTTCTTGTTGTTGTTATGAGGTGATTCTGCTTTTCGGTTTCTTGCCTACATACTTGTTGTCAATTCCATCTAGCACATATCGTGCATTGCTTGTCATTTATTGGAAGATCTAGTTATATTGTACGGAGTTATTCGAAAGATGAAGGCTTGACTGACAATAGCATCTTTAGCCCCCGCGCACCACTTATCACTGCCCCTAAATATCCCTATCTCCGACGTTCAAACAACGGCATGTTGGACCATATAATATATCTGGTTGATATTGTGAGTCTTGCCCTAATGAAGATGTGATTAGGTAAAGATGAGCCTGAGAGAGCCTGAGATTGAAGACAGATTTCGTGAGTCATGGCATAGTGTCATCAAAACAGGCGTTGCCTCACCTCACCTATATAGATAAGATTGACAAAGATCAATCATGGTGGTATCTCTAGAAACCCAGATGGAGATTTGAAACTGGCCAATGAAGCTGGGCGGTACCATCCTGCTGAGAGTCTTAATTCCGAGCCAAATGCGCCCGAATCATCTTCAAAACCATCTCGTTCTTCTCCAAATGCACACTATGGTTTGCGCCAGCCACAACGGCCAACTTAGCTCCTGGGATCCCCTCCGCAATAATCTCCGATTGCGCCGGCGGACAAATCCAGTCTTTTTCTCCAACAACGGCTAGAGTCTTCGCACTGATCCGATGGAGCCGATCCCGATAGTCAAAGAACTTCTCTGGTGCGGCGTAAAGATCATCTAAGGGACGTGTCAGCCACCGGCGTTTATCGCGCAGCAGAGTGATGGAGCATTGAAGCGTACTATGCGACTCGGCATTGAACACCGTAGCGAGATTCTGCTGCAGAGCAAGATCAGGATCAAACGCCTCTCGATAGAGCGGTGCGGCAGCGTGCATCACGAGCTGGAACTCGATGTCACTGTTGGAGTGACCGAAGATCTTGTCACGGAGCATGTTGATGCTCATCCCGGGCGCTCGGTGGAGACGGGCTTCAAGGGCTTGAATGGCTTGTTCTTCGTCTGTATAGTAGCTCAGACAGGAATGGCGAGATTTTCAGCCTCTGCGCTTCGCTGCAGCATTGAGGTGGGAGTGCTGGTGAAGGGAAACGCGTGGTTGGAATCACTTACGATGGTGCGAGGCAGCGGTGCCTCTCAAGATCAAATGAGACCCTTTATCAGGGTACTCAATGGAGTACTGCAGCGCCAGGAAACCACCGAAGCTGCCGCCGCAGATGATGCACGGGGTGTCTGGCCCTGCAAAGTGACGTCGAAGGGCCTCTATGTCATTCACTAGTTGTTGGAAAGTATACGGCTTGGTGCGCGAACTCTGGCCATGTCCACGATAGTCGAACGAAAGAATGCGGAAGTCATCCTGAGAGAGAGGGGAGTATGCTCTAAAGTCGGAGGTGTGGTCTCCTAGTTTGCGTATCAGCTAGACGTATTTGTGGTGATCACGCAGTGCCACTGACCGAATCCACGACCACCGTGTAGAGTGACGACCAAGGGAGCATCATATCCCGACCAGGCGGTAGGCAAGGTCGGCATCATTCACAGTAATGTGTTCTACCATTTTGTCATGAAAGGGATGTCTAAGAGCACAATCATACGAGAAGGTGGGCAAGTCTCGAGTTCTTATAATGGTGGTCTCACTGATAGCACTAAGAGATTACGTGATGCTGCCGGTCTTCTTCCTCCGCTGCACCACCCGCTGCACTGTATCTATGCCAACTCCCGTCCACAGCGTCAGAGCAACCACAAACGCCAGCCCACTGGCCCACCCATGCGTCTCCTTGAACTCAGGCGCCTGACTGCTGGGAAATTGAAACTGCTGGAAAGGTATGACCACAGCCTGGTCCAACGAGACCATAAACGCCAAAACGAAAGCGCGCAGTTGCTGATCTCCGCCGCAAACAGAATTCACCCAGCCTGCCAACAGAGGGGTATAGCACCCATAACAGCCGCTCAGAATAAACACCGCCATCTTGAATTGCTCCGATACATCCCACGCTGTCAGCACCGCAAAGCAGAAGGTCAACAAACATCCTACTGCAAAGCACACCCGACCGCGCCCTCTCTCACCAAAGAAATCCACAAGATACCCGGTCGCCACCATGAAGACGAAGTTGATCGCGCCCATGCAAGTTGGAAGGGAGTTGATCTGCGGCACTGAGTAATGGCCCGTGGACTTCAGCCACAGGGTAAAATACTGCATCACATACGATCCGCACGTCAACGTCCAGAGACAATACGCCAGCGAGAAGACGTAAAGCTGCCAGCTTCCCAGCACCCGTCGGATCACGCTCCAGTCCAGAAGTCGACGCTGGCTGAGTGGAGTCCGCCCGTCGTCTGCAATCCGCTCAATCGCGCGCTTGCGCTCCCAGTCGCTCAGGTAAAATGCCTGCGTTGTCTCGGGGGTATCCGGGTAGAAGACCAGCCTGTAGGCGGCGACCGGTACCGCCAGAACGAAGTCGAAAATGAAGAGCCATCGCCACGCAGGCATCCCTCCCTTTCCATCCATTCCACGATACAGACCCGCTTGCAGATACCCGGAGAACATCTGACCCAGCACTCCGGACATGACAAATAGGCCACTCCGGCGTGCCATCTCCGACTTCGTGTACCAGCATCCTAGCACGTATTGAATGCCGGGCCACGCTGCGGACTCGAACAGGCCGATACAGAAGCGGAGCGCGTAGAATTCGTGGGCCGTGTTGCATTTGAACAGAAATAGCACGAAAAGGGACCACACGAAGAGACAAAACGGGAGCCAGAAGCGCGGGCGCACACCGGTGAGAATCAGGTTTGAGAACGGTCCGCCGATGATGACGCCGGCGTTGAAATAGGTGTTCATCCAACTGAGTTCATTTCCCGGGCCGAAGTGCAGATCGCTAGCCATTCCGGACGCATAGGCATTCGTCACATTGTTGCCGTCAAGCTGTTTGATGAAGAAACACAGGCAGCTATAGCTCAACAAGAACCAGTCCAATTTGAAGATAAGCCATTTCTCTTCTTTGGAGGTATTGGGCTCGTGCCAGTGGAGGAGCGCCCATCGTCGCCACGGCGGCGGAGGTTCTGTGACAGCCGCAGGAGGCCGTTTCCCTGGATCGGTGCCTATCGACGACATCATGAAGTTGCGACGCACTGCATCTCTGCATCCCACCGTATATTGGACGTGACTTTATACATATCGCACGGAGCAACATCTATTGATAACATACATCCTGCAGATGGTGCAATCCGACATAAATTGCCTGATCAGGAACTGCAGTAGCGTCCGTCTTCGGAGCGGGGCCGACAGTGTTCTAGCCACGAAGAGTTAGAAAAAAGAACAGACAGCGTCTGACTCGTTCAAACGAGATAAGAATGGCGCAAATTTCGGGGACTGCCCCTCCACCCGAGCGAAGCTGACGCGCGTTGGCTCTTCCCAGCCAACGATACCCTGGTAACAATTGGCCCGGCCTAGGGTGTCACCCAGCAAGGATAACATCTCCAGCCGTAATGACTGCACGCTATCATCATTGATACCAATAGCATGCCCTGTAATGCTTTCTTCAAGCTTTTGCATCAAAACCACCAAATGATGCGCCTGTCGCCACTGTGGTGGGAAGCTTCCTAGAATATCTATACAGACATGGGCCTCGATTCGGATAAGATCGGCCAGGTCTGCGTCGGATACAAAGCAATGCAGCAAAACCAAACAGGCTGGTACCAGCCGATTTAGCGTGATCCGGTTCAACGGCAATTGTCGGCTACCAAGAAGAACTCGATTGTACTGGAGAAACTTCCTTACCAGCTTCAGCAGGGATCTGATATGGAAGGCCCCACTGGCGTCCGAACGAGCATTAAATCGACATGGATAATACAGCAGCAAAAGCAGGTGATAGTATCGCGCATTTAACCAACCCATGGTATCATGTACGCGCACATTATCAAGCTCCGGTTGGGAAATCAGGCAACCTTGGCTATACCAGTTTTCGATTTCCAACCGTAGTTTGGCTGTGATTATGCTGCAATCGAAGGGAGCTTTCTTCTCGGGTGAGCGTCCGCTCGCCAGATGTACTGTGGAGAGAATTCGTGCCTCTAGTTGGCGCAGCTCGATAACATGTCGACTGACCTGCAGCACGGCAGCCACCTCCGCCCTCTCTGGCGTGGCGAATTCTTCAACCGTGATAGTTGGCAAAGGAATCATGGAGTCCTCAACTGTGAGGCCCGGGGACTGGCCGACTGACACCGCCATCATCCGGTCTAGCACGAAGATACTCCAGAAGAGGCGGCGACGGAGCTGGACGGCCTGTGGGGTCAAGCCGTCCTCCCACAACCCCGGTTGAGTGAGGCCCAGGCTCACGGCTTGGCGGGTGACGATGCCCACAATGGTCCAAGTGGACGGGCCCTGTGGATCGAAAAGCGAGTATAGAGCCAAGAGAATTAGGATGTGGATCGAGTGGATGCTTTCGCTCATGGTGCATCGCTGCAGGATCTCGGCATATGCGATCGTAAAGCCGGCAGTCCCTGCACTTGGGGCCTTTCCTGATCGCTCAAGGCTTGTATGGCCGATCGCCATTGCCATGTACAAAACCTGCGTTCTTGCGTTAATGCTGCCTTGTGCACGGAGGCATGAAAAGTCCGCGCGAACTCACCATTGCATCGTCCTCAGGTCCATCATTGGGTACGTCCGCTGCCGCTCGCAAAATCCACTCTTTATCGAGGAAAGGGTACGCCCGGTAAACATGATGCAGGAAGGCCTCAACCAGCACGATTGAACTTGCAATCGGCCCATGAGGCTTGATCAGGCGTTGCGCCAGGCCAACTTGCGGAGTTTGAATTGCTTCAAGCTCATTGATATGTTGCGTCAACTCATCCAGCCGGGCCTGCAGCGCTTCCACCTCATCTCGCCCACCGGGATACGAGCATTTCCGACCGGCGTGAAGGCATGAAGCACAGACGGGACGCGACCTATCACATCTCTTCTTCATGCCTCGACAGCGATCGCACGCGGGGTGAGAGTTGCCCCTATTTTGACTGTTGAAGTTGGCGGGGTCTGTTGAGGTAGAGCGAAGCAGGCGGAATCGGTCACTTTGGTAGGCACGACCTTTTTTGGTAATTTTAACGGCATGTTGCCGATGTGGAGATAGAAGCTCAGTCTCGTGGGAGGGAGCGATATGGTAGATGAGTGGGGAGATAACGCCTGTCGCTATCAAGCAGGCGGATGGTGTTATTTGTTGCTGATCGGAGTTCTCCCGAACTACCCCGACTCGAGTCATGAAAGGCACAATGAGAAGCGCATGAAGTACTTAACTCAGAAGAAGAAAAAGCAGCACCTCTGCTGCTGATAAATCCAGCCAAGTCCCTTCTCGAAAGAGAAGTTGCGCGACACCACCGTTGAGATTTACCACGTCATCATGCACTCCCCCGACATCAACATTGCGATTGGTGCGAATACAATGTTTCAGTCCTGTGTATGGCTCAAGTCAGAAAGCTAACCGATGCGATCAGATCGCGGTGGCACATTCTGCGATGTTCTGGTCCAAGTTGCAGGCCAGCCAGATCTTGTATTCAAGCTACTCTCCGAAGATCCGACCAACTATCGCGATGCCCCGACCGAGGCAATCCGGCGCGCCCTAGAAACCATTGAGGGATGTAGCATTCCCAAATCAGCCAAATTAGACGGCTCACGGATTGCATCTTGTCGCATCGGTACTACGATCGCCACCAACGCACTTTTAGAGGGCAAAGGTAAGAAGTTTGCTTTCGTGGCCACCCAGGGCTTTCGAGATGTGTGCACCATCGGAGACCAGACTCGACCGAGGCTTTTCGATCTCAATGTCCGGAAGGCTACGCCTCTTCACCACAAGGCCGTAGAGATTGACGAGAGAATCACAATCGAGGACTATGATCTCAATCCGTTCCCGCTGGACATTTCAAGGGATGTTTCCGACCCGGCTCTGGTCCAAACGGCCAGTGGCGAAATTGTTCGGGTGATTCAGCCCCTGAATGTCGAAGCGGTCTGCGAGACCCTGCGCGAGCTGAAGGCAGAGGGGTATGATTCTGTAGCAATCGCATTTATGCACTCATATCTCCACCCGGGGCACGAGGAGACAACAGCCACCTTGGCCCGCGATGTTGGCTTCAAGTATGTCACCACATCAGCTGAAGTCAGCCCTGCCATCAAGTATCTCCGCCGAAGTAACTCGGTGTGCTCCGAAGCGTTTCTGTTCCCGATTGTCCAACGATATGTCGCCGGCTTCGAAGATGGGTTTTCTGTTCTACCACAACGTGTCGATTTTATGTGCTCAGATGGAGGACTGCGGTCATCCCGGAAGTTTCGAGGAAACGAAGCCCTCCTCAGTGGTCCCGCTGGCGGAATTGTTGGGATAGCGAAGACATGCTTCGATCCTAGCAATCCAACTCCCATAATCGGTTTCGACATGGGAGGGACCAGTACTGATGTCTCACGGTATGATGGATCTTTTGACTACCTCAGTGAGACGACGATAGCCGGCCGCCTTATAACTATCCCGATGTTGAATATCGCTACAGTGGCTGCTGGAGGAGGATCGATTCTCTTCGCCCGAAATGGGCTGTTTGTGGTAGGTCCCGAGAGTGCAGGAGCACATCCAGGTCCTGCGTGCTACCGCAAAGGGGGACCTTTGACTGTCACAGACGCGAACCTCTTCTTAGGGAGGTTGGTGCTGTCCTCTTTTCCCTCAATCTTCGGACCGAACGCAGACCAGCCGCTTGATTATGAGGTAACGGCTCGCAAGTTTGAAGAGATCACCCGGAAAATCAACCAGCAAACGGGGCAGACCCTGAGTCCGGAAGAAACGGCACTTGGCTTTATAAATGTTGCCAACGAAACCATGAGCCGTCCGATACGAAATGCCACCGAATCTCGCGGCTTTCATCCCGAACACCATAATCTTGTAAGTTTTGGGGGCGCGGGTGGCCAGCACGCCTGTTCAATTGCTAGTCGGCTGGGTATCAGGCGCATTCTAATCCACAAGTACTCGTCGATCCTATCTGCGGTCGGCATTTCGAAGACAGAGTTGCAGGCGGAGGCCATCGAACCGTCTGTCGCCACTTTTGATCCATCAATCCTTCCCAATCTCAACGCTCGATTCGCTGCCTTGAAAGATAAAGTCAAGGACGAACTAATATCTCAAGGGGCGAGGGTCGAGTCAGTGCGCTTTGATGAATCTTTGAGCTTGAGGTATCAGAAGACTGACACTAATCTGACCATTTCCAAGCCGGGGGATGAGGATTATGGTACCGCGTTTCAAGAGACACATCGCCGCGAATTCGCATTCGCGTTGGATCGGCCCGTAATTATCGACGCGTTGCAAGTACGTGGGACGGGTGGAGTCGAGGAATGGCAAGCGACTCCAGCGTCGCCTTTCAAGGCCTTAGACGAGGCGAAGATCCAGCGGAAAGAAGCCAAATCTCAAAGTCTGCAGAGAGTCTTCATCGAGACCTCGTGGCAGGATATACCATACTACACTTTGGAGTCCCTTGGTCATTTTACCGTCCTAGAAGGCCCAGCAATTATTATTGACGCAACACAGACTATATTCGTGGAACCAGACTGGGAGGCCTACATTCTTCCGGAGCACATCGTTCTCGAGGCAATCGACCGCAAGCCAAATAAAAGCTCTTGGGTAGAATCTCAGATCACCAATCCGATCCAGCTCTCCATCTTCTCCCATCGCTTTATGGCGATCGCCGAGCAGATGGGTAGCATACTACAGCGGACCTCTATTTCCACCAGCATCAAAGAACGTCTGGATTTCTCCTGTGCCATATTCTCTCCAGATGGCAAGCTTGTAGCTAATGCTCCTCACATCCCCATCCACCTTAGGAGCATGCAATACGCGATCCAAACCAGCACCGTCTCTGGGAAGGCAAGCTTCGACCGGGTGATGTTCTTCTTACCAACCATCCAGAATGCGGCGGCACTCACCTCCCAGATCTCACTGTTATCAGTCCAGTCTTCACCGGCACGAACGAGACCCTAGCCTTCTACGTCGCCTCACGAGGCCACCACACCGACATCGGAGGCAAGGGAATCACAGCAATGATGCCCGACTCCAAGGAGCTCTGGGAAGAAGGGCTAAACGTGCAATCCCTCAAAATCGTGGACAATGGCGTCTTCCTCGAAGACGCAGTCCGAGCAGCGTTCGAAGCCGCCGGCGACCACCCAGGCTGCAGCCCCAGCCGACGGATCAACGACAACATCTCCGACCTTAAAGCCCAGATCGCGTCCAACCAACGCGGCATCCTCCTCCTCCAGAACCTCTGCGACCAATTCTCCCTCCCCACCGTCCACCGCCACATGCACGGGATCCAATCCAATGCCGAAGCCGCGGTGCGCCACTTCTTCCGCACCCTGAGCGCCCAGCACCCCTCCCCGCTGACGGCAGTCGACCACTTCGACGACGGCACCCGGATCCAGGTGACCATCACGATCGACCCAACCACGGGCGGAGCCATCTACGACTTCGCGGGCACCGGCCCGCAGAGCTGGGGCAACTACAACTGCCCGATCTCCATCACACACTCGGCCGTCATCTACACGACGCGCTGCCTCATCGACGAGGACATCCCCTTGAACGACGGCTGCCTGGCGCCCATCGACATCCGCATCCCGCGGGGGTCGATCCTCCGCCCCAGCGCCTCCGTCGCCATCTGCGGCAGCACTCTCGCCAGCCAGCGCGTCATCGACACCATCCTCCGTGCCTTCGGCCGGTGCGCCGCCTTCTCCGGCTGCACCAACAGCTTCGGCTGGGGACTCGGCGGCAAGGATCCCGTCACCGGGACGATCACCCCCGGCTGGAACTACGGGGAGACTGTGGGCGGCGGGTGCGGCGCCGGCCCCGCCTGGCACGGCGAGAGCGCCATTCAGTGCCACTCGACGAATACCAAGATCACGGACGCCGAGGTCGTGGAGAAGCGCACCCCGGTGATCGTGCGGAGGCATGCGGTGAACCGCGACACGGGTGGACGCGGGAAGTTCCGCGGTGGGGACGGCGCCACGAGACTGATTGAGGCGCGGGTGCCCTTGCGGTTTAGTATTCTCAGTGACCGCCGGGTGTCTGCACCGTATGGGATGGAAGGGGGCGGGGAGGGTTCTGTGGGGACGAACTTTGTGTATAGGTGGAATGAGAGGAGGACGGGGTATGAGAAGCTGTCGTTGGGGGGGAAGGCGGCGTTGGCGTTGGAGGCCGGGGAGTTGATGGAGGTCAATAGTCCGGGTGGTGGGGGGTGGGGAATTGCTTTGGAGGGTGAAGATGATGTGTGATTGAAGTATGACTACCGAAGCTTCCCGTGATCGAGAGACTTCTTCTCGTTTGGTTAGTCTGGTTGCAAGATACAACGTACGAGTGATAGCTTGCTATATTTGTTTTTATGGCTACTATATGCTGCTATTAAAAATTTGTATGTGACCAACACAGTTATAAGCAAGGAGTTGCCGTAACAAGCATGATTATACTGCTAGTGAGAGCCCTAGAGTAAGGGTCTGTCATAAGGAAGAGATACGGGTAACTTGGTAAGCCGGCTACTGGATAGACTACTAGATAGACTAGTGGATAGACTACTGGATAGATTACCAGATATGCTTATAAATGTGCCACAAGACCAGCTAGAGAGATACTCGATAGCTGGATAATCATTCCTTTGAGATACCTTTCACATAGTGAATAGCTTCTGCTTGAAAACATTTCGCCTTTGTGTACAGAAGATCCCTGGGGACTTTCAGTATATTTAAGCAGTAGTGATATACGAAATAAAAGTTACATGTAGATAGCTCAATTAGTATTAGCCAGGCACCGACAACACAATTGAATTGTTCTACATGACCCCTCCCCAGGACTTATCAATATCAAGATATTCCAACACGCCCGTGAGATGAAGTCCACCAAGCCTCACTTCACTGCCACGAATTCACCAGACAAGCGCAATAACACAATCCTGAAACAAATTCCCAAACAAGGACCACAGCTCTAAATCATCAAAGACCAAAGAAGAACCTCCCAGCCATATTCCACCCAGAATAGAAAGAACACACCAACCGGCAACCCACAAACAACGGACCACAGCGACAACCTCCATCCAACCCACCCAACGACGCTCAAACACAACCTCCCACCTTCGACAACCACCAGTCCACGACGGCACCTTCCTCTCTCAGCCCTGATATCGCAGCATATAAAACCACCACCACAATCTCCCATCCCAGACGACAGTAACGTACCGTACGCTCCCAACACTCACAAAAACCCTCAAACCAAACGAACCCAACTAACAACCACCCTAACCTCCAGCGTTCCTCTCCAAAGCGAGAACCCCAGCAAAAGGAATGGACACTCCCATCCACCCAAATCTAACCCACCTCGCGACCCTGTCACATCGCTCCCGCCAACGAAACGAAGCCCGCATCAGCTGGGCCTACATCAGCGACACGCCCGCGGACGTGGTCTGCGGGCTGTGCGGGGAGCACGAGCACCTGTGCGCGGACACGCGGTTCTGGCGGTGTCCGATGGCGGCGTGCGGGCACAGCGCCTGGCACGATAGCTGCCTGGACGGGAGGTTTGAGCGGGAGGCGGCGGCGGGCCGCGCGCTGGCGTTCGGGTGTCCGGCTTGCGGGACGGGGTGGTGGCTGCGGAGTGAGATGAGTGCGGAGGGGGCGCAGCTGCGCGAGGCGTGGCAGGAGATGCAGATGTTGATGCTGTTGCGGGAGGTGGAGGAGATGGAGGGGTGGAGTGCGCTGGGTTTGCAGCTGGGTGGGCTGGAGGGTGGGCAGGAGCTGGATGGGCAGCAGCAGGGTATCCAGCAGCTGGCTTTGGAGCAGGAGCGCCACCTCAGCCAGCTCTACCAGGAGTACAAGCTCAAGAAGCAGCTGAGGCAGCAGCAGGCTTGGGCGGAGGAGCGCCACCTCCGCGAGGTTTACCAGCAGTATCTGCTGAAGGAGCAGCAGCAACAGCAGCAACAGCAGCAACAGCAGCAACAGCATCGTACCGACCAGCTCTACCAGCAGTATCAGCAGGGCTTAGAGCAGCAGGACCTAGAGCGACAGTATCACACCCACCAGCTCTACCATCTAAAGCAGCAACAGCAGTAACAGCTACAGCAGAATTTGATGCCGCTGCTACAGCCGGACATATTGGGTGAAGACACCTGAGAGCTACTGGTTTTGGTCCTTGATGGTTTGTTATTTTTCCTTCTGCCTTCACCGTTGACCTTAAGTCCTTTTGAGCGATAATTTTCAATAAACTTTCGTCCTCATTCAAAGTAAATATTTTCGCAAGTTTAACTGTCGCATATTGAATTTGCTTTCTGAGTATTGAGAACCACAAACTGCACATTTCGAGGAATGTTGCGCGACATTTTAGGCTCGGTGATGATTCGGGTGCTCCTGGCGCCGATAGCTTGCGCTGCAGCGTCTAAGGTCATTAGTGAAGAAACGTCCATTGTTGGCGGAAGATCCGCCAACTCCGGAAATCCCTTTGTAAGTTACCTTACTTGAGTTATTGGTAATGAATGAACCGAGCCATTCAATGAGAGCGTTGCGATTTGAGTGCCTCAGCGGGGGGGAGATGACGCAACTTCTTGATCTTTGGTGGTTATTGATGATTACAACCAACTGGAATATCAATCAACATGCGACGCAACCTGGTAACCATGTTGGATCACGTGGATAAATTACTTGGGAACGCCGACAATTACACCGTGTAGGCAAAAGAAGGGCAAGACACTGACCGATTCGATCTTCTGCGCCAAAAGACTGTGGATCCTGTCATCTACAACAGGCTAGCCGGCCCATATGGCAGACAATCTGTGCATTCATAAATACGCCAATTGGTTAAGCCTATTCTACAGGTCGGCAAAGTATTTGTCTATGTCAATATACAAAACCTCTGCCCCACCAGTTTCTTGGCAGGTTCCTTGGCTAGGTAATCAAAAGCCCACTCCTTCACGATCCCATGGGCGTGTATCAAGATCGATTTATCTCTCTCCACATTGTCAGTTAATTTTCTGGGGTTGAAGGTGGTACTGGCGAAATGTTGCAGTGGGACGGACGATCTACCCCAGCATAATAGTACAACCTCCACGGCGGACCCACTCTCGAAGACCCACATATCGTAACAGAGAAAAATGAAAAAAAAGGAAGAATGGGACGAGCCGGGCTTGAACCGGCCACCTTCAGATTTATGGCCGAAGTTTGTGCTTCAGTCTGACGCGCTCCCAGATGCGCCATCGTCCCAATTGTTTAAGAATCCTCAAATCTAATGAAACATGACTCAAGAAACGTATAAGCCTGGGAGTAGTGTCTCCAAGCAGAAAAGACTTTGACACAGCTCTGAGTGACTAAACATTTGCAAATGGCACTTATGAATGCTAGGTTTGATAAACCATTGATAGGACCGGTTCACCATAAACGGACGGATATAATAAGCACATTGGCTTTGTTCAGCATAATGGTTTGAGGAATGGTCATATGCTGGGGCTAGTGCTTTATTGTCATCTGCTGCTCGTCGTGTGGGGAGCGAGAAATTTTTCCGCAGTGCAAGAGTATGCTATTCTTGTTGGTATGAACCTTCCAGAAACTGAGGTCTCGACCTGAATATAACTCTTGGTATGGGTTCGTCATCCACGTCAAGGATAAGAACTCTGAGGCCGTGCTTCGATGATTGCTTGGTAGACCTGAGACTCTATTGGTGGTTGTAGCTGCACTAATACAGGCATACCTGACGCCGGAGGCTACCATAGGTGAGAAGCCTGGATAGATTGTAGTCAGCCTTGTATAAAAATATTTCGAACATGAAATGGCATTGTACCGTAGTACCACGATTTTCTACGCCAGTCAATCCTTGCGCACCCAATTTTCAAACGCCGCCTCACAGTCCCGAATCACATCCAGACCCAGCGTCTGTCTCATTGAGAAAGAGAAGAGCCAACTCCAGTCGCTCTCGCGGGTGACGCCCATATAAGCCAGAAAAAAGTCGCGGAGCCTTTGGACAATCCCGTCTGCGAAATGGAGTAGGAACCGGTTGATGCGCGCAGCCCGCACATTGCGTGTTGTACGTCCTTTTCGGAGTTGTTCGTAAAGCTTCAGGATCGACGCAATGCTGTCTGCGGTGGACATCTCTTTCCCCTCGGATCTAGATTGCGATAGATGGCTCTGCAAGAGCCCGAGAAGTTTCCCGAGCACGGCTCCATCTTCAACAGCCATTGCCGCGCCTTGGGCTTGATAAGGCAGGGTGGGATGACAGGCGTCGCCGAGGAGAGCCACTCGACCCTGTACTTCGGTCAGCAACCCGCGCAATAGCCATCAAGAGACTCAAACCTTCGTCCATGTAGGCAGCTCCGGCAGCTGGGTCAGCTTCCACTTGTAGACCGAGGTGACGCGCGACAGAAGCTTTTCCAATCTAGCAGCTTGTCAGCGGATGCTTCAACTATAACCCCAATCCTTAAACCACCCTGCACAGAAGAGACAACAAGAAAAAAACATACGTAGGATCCCACCCAGCATAACTCTCACGCATCTCCTGCACCCCGGCCTCCTCCCTCCTCTTTCCCGACGGCAGATCATCCGGCCGCAGCAAGACCAGATTGAATTCCCTCCCACCCCTTACCGGGTAGAAGATAGTATGCTTCCCGGGCCCGAGGTAGCTCGTGACCGCCACACGCCGACACAGCTCCTCCACCCTGTCGTCCCGGAGAGCCTCAAGCTCCGACCTCGGAATCACCGCCCTATACGCCAGATCGCCGGTCTCCTGAGGCATCGCTCCATCCCCACCAACCACCCACCCCCGAACCTGCGACCAGAGCCCTAGCGCCACCACCGTCAGCACACCCCACCCCTCCCCGGAGTACGACCCAGAAAAGAAGAGAAAAAAAACACACCATCGGCCCCCAAAACAACATCCCCGCGCACCCGCTCCCCACCCACCAACAGCACAGCGGGGCCCTCAAAGTCCACTCCCTCCACCGCCACCCCCAGCCTGACTTCGGCCCCGAGCCGGACGGCCTCCTCATACAGCACGCGATGGTAATCCGCTCGGTGGATGATCAACCACGGCGCCCCGAACTCTCGCACAATCCCCTCCCCGAAGGGCATGGACCGGAGGAGGTCGCCCGACGCGTAGCGCCGGAAATCCACGTGCTCGAGGACTTTCGCTCCTCCTTCGTGGAGAAGTTTGGGGAGCAGACCCAGGTCGCGCATGACGCGCGTGCCGTTGGGCGGGATCTGGATGCCGGCGCCGGCGGTCTGCAGGTGGGGGCACTTCTCGAGGACGAGGACGTCGAGGTTTTGCTTCGTGCAGGCAATGGCGGTGGTGAGGCCGCCGAGGCCGGCGCCTATGATTACTATCTTCATGGTTTATGTGGAAAACGGATTGGTGGATTGGTGGTTTTGGATGGAGAGATGGGAGGGATGGACGGATGGACGGATGGCAATGGCATGATGGGGGGATGGGCGGACCGGAGCGGGAGGGACACTTGGACCACCAGCCTGGTTTCCGCTTTTCCGCCGCAGGGGGGTTCCCATCTATTTATTTACTGTACAGTACCTTACTGTAATGTACACCTTAGGAAGTAGGTGCTGTAAAGTCACAACTCAACAGACTGGATGTCATTCTGATTTATTCTCTCTTCATTTGTTCTTTTCCTTGTGTCTTTCTTACTGGTGTTTTCTTGAGTACCCTTGTTTTGGGCTTGCTGCGTAGGAAGACTCTTGCGAACTACAAGCTAGCCACATTCACTACGTGTGACCACTGAGCCAGCTCGGAGTGCATTACTAGCAAACAGAGCAACAGACAAAATAATATTAGAAATAGAATAAGAAATAAAAAAAAACAAGAAAGAAGAAAGAAAAAAGAACCCGCTGTTTGAGGTCAATCCAATCTAACATCATGGATCCTCATTCCCTTTTAACCAATCCAACCCAAAGTTAATTAGCCTTAACCCCCACATAATAATACAAGGTGATTAAAGGCCACTGCACTGTCCGGCTTCCACTCGCAAATTTCCACCCGGTCACATCCACCACCTCCTGCCGCTGCAATAGCGCCGAGATCTCCTCGGGCGTCCGCGTCCGCAGACACGAGATGAGCCCATCAACCCAAAGCGCCAGCGCTGTCACCGGCACCACATACGTAAAGAACAGATGCACGGGCGACCACCAGTACGAGCGCAGCGTCACGAGGTACGTGAAGAAGAAAATCAGCGGGGAGCACAGGCACGTCCAGAGGTCCCGGGCGGTGATTTCGAAGATCCTACTTGCTGTCAGTACATGATCCCCAGTACAAACAAAAGATAAAGAAACGGGCTGAATTGGCATACACAAACGCATCCGCCTCCTCGACCGCATTCTGCAAGATCTTTTGGGCATCCTCATCCTTGAAGTGGTGGAAACAGATGTTGAAGATGCGACACTCCTTGCGATCCTTGGGGGTGTAACGCGGGGCATCCCGCGCGTCCACGGCGGAAGGAATGTAGGAGATGTTCTGCTGCTTCTTGGTGATGCCCTTCCAGGCCTCAAGATGAGGGAAAAGGTCGGTGAGCAGGAATCGGACCGGCCGAGCGCTGCTGTCGCTGCCGTTGGTCTGCTCGAGGGTTCGATTGAGTTCCCGTTCGAGCAACGGGGTGGGCCCGCCGGCGCCGGCGCAGAGGTCGACGAACAAGAACGACGACACATCCGGCAGATACTCACGGATGACGGTGCAGGCCTGGGTGGCTAGGCTGCCGTGGCTCCATCCGGGGATGGACAGGTGCCAGAGCTGCGTGAGCGTGAACTGCTCGTGTTGGTGCAGCCAGTCTGGGAGCCAGGATTGGTCACCCAGTTCGTAGAATTGGATGCGGGGCCACTTGAGCATTATGCATGTGCTTAGGGAAGGATTGTAGGAAATGGTCGTGGAATGGTCATTGGTTAGTTAAGAGGAGAATGAAGAGACAATAAGCTGGAAGCTGGGGGGAGGGGATGGAGCTGTTTAATAGGGAGGGCGGTGGTGCCTTCCTAGGTTTGTGGGGTTTGGTTCCGGATACCGGATGGGGGGTTCATCCTGACGTCCTTCTCCAGCGGCCGCTCACCGCTTAGCATCATCCACTCGCGGAGTTTACTGCCTCTCTATTGAGTCCAGTGCTCGATTGTTGTCGGTACGGAAATTTGGTAAGCATTACTGAGGGTTTTCATAGAACAACAGTACCTAAAGATAAGCTTCATTTGTGCATTGTATCTTGCATGGATACTACTAGCACTACTAGTCAATATAAAATTACACAGCAGACGGGAAGTAACGGGATCATCCTGGATAAAGGCCGAAGTTGTGCAACAAAGCGATCATATCATTAAGTTATAGGCATCTGTCTTTAGGTTACCTTCTGACGAGATTTCCACTCTTTTGTGAGTCGGTTTATTATACAACTTACTTATGACAACGTGAACTTCTACCAATGTCACTATCGGAGGAATCTTCGGGCAAAACCAGATCTCCTCAATTTGCATCCTGATAGGATAACTAGATCATTGTAATGAAGAACAAGAAAGTTCATCGCATGAAAGGGAAATAAAAGAAAGGAATGTAATCCAACAGATTACAAACACCGAGCCCCCGCCGAGCCCCCACCCACTCCCTAAACACCATGCTCCACCTTCCATAAAACCAACCACCGAATTCCCAAAGCAGAAGATCTAACCAGAGGTACGGATCCAAGTCAACGTCTAAGCGGCCAACTTCATCAAGATCTCCCTCAAGGCGGGGTTAGTAGAGCCGAACGCTTTTTCAAGATCTGTGACCATCTCCATCAACTTATCTTCCCACGCTTTGATGGCGACTTCCGTGGCTTTCATCGCGCCGGACTTATCCAACATGGCCAAAACCTTCATCTTATCCTCAAACTCCATACCACCCTTCCTGTACTTCAGCCGACCAAAAAGCTCCAAAAGGGGCCTCTTGAACAGGTAGTTTATCTCACAACACATGACCACAGGATAGCTAAACTTGCCTTCGTCAAGGTCCTCACAGAAGCCTTTCTGGGCGGTGTAGGATGTATCCTTCAGATTACGGTAGTCGTCGCGGACCTGAAAGTACAATCCGAGCTCGTTCATGAAGCGATCGAATGTCTCCACCAGCGATTCCTGCTCCTCCTGCGGGTGTGGGTTGGCAGGGAGGATCGCGGATCCCGAGCCGGCGAGGCAAAACATCAGTCTCGAGATCAGCTGGAACAGCGCTCCGGTCTTGCCGGCGA